CTCACAACAGGCCTGACACCGAGAAGTGGTTTGTGTGGGTCAGCTCTCCGTTGCTGTGACAAATGTCATAGAAAAGCCAGCTTATGAAGAGAAAAAGTCTGTTCAGCTCACAGTGTGGGAGGATCCCGTCCACCCCTATGGCCCTGTGATTTGGGGTCTCCAGGGCGTTGGGGCAGCGCCTGTGGCAGGCAGAACTCAGCTCCCAGCCAGAACGCAGAGAGGATCCCCCTCAGGGCTCCCCCAGGGACCCCCGCCCTCCACTGGTCCTGATTCTTAAAGCCCCCACCACTCACCCCCGCACCATGGTCTGGGGACCAAGCCTCCAACACCCAAGCTTTGAGGGACATTTAAGATCCGAATATAGGGGATGGGGCTGTAGCTCGGTGGTAGGGAGCTTTCCTAGGTGTGCCAGGCCCTAGGTTCCATCCCAGCATGGGAAAGAAAAAAAAAAAGAAAGCAAACTCAATAAGATGTCTGTTAGGTGGTGACAATTGCTTATGACAAAAAGCATTGGCGTGACGTAAAAACAGGCAGGTTCCAATGGCTCTGAAGGAATGTGGAGCTTCAGCCCATGGAAACCTACACAGCAACGAAAAAGAACAGACTTCACACAACAGCATGGAAAAAGAGCTCAAGAACGTCACATAGGGTGACCGCGGCTGTCCACGGGAGTGTACCCGGGATGCTTCCATTCCTAGGAAGTTCAAAGCCAGGTAAAGCCAGTGCACCTGAGGGGAACTAGCCAGGCTGCCTCCGTGGTCAGGGGCTGGCAGGGAGGCTGGGAAGGTCGCAGGGGGCCGGGGACTTCCTGATTCTGCAGTAACGGTGGCCTCACAGGTGTCTGCACAGCGTCTGTTGAGCCACAAGCTTAAGATCTGTGAACACAGCCTTGTGGTTCCCAAGACCAACCGTGCGGAGGGGCAAGGACGAGGGGGGGGGGCTGGGGAAGCTAATGAGGACGCAGTGGGGCGTCAGGGGTGGCGGCTTTGGACAGAGACCCAAAGAAGTAAGTGGGAGCCCAGCAGATGGCAGGAACCTGTCCCAAGACCAAGAACAATACAAGAAAGGAGGGTCTCCAGCTAGGCACAGGGGCTGCGAGGTGGCTCATGAGGGAGGGACTCTGGGCACCTTCTCAGTGATGGACACTAGGAGCAACCTGGGCCAGCCCCATCCTCAGGCTGAGGGAGCAGGAGCAGTGGGAAGGGCCAAGTCCAACACTGACTGGAGGGAGCCGAGCG